AAAAGTGCCATTTTAAAAATTTAGCTTTATAATAGTGCCTTTTGTAAAAAAATTAGAAATTTTCAACGCAATAGAAATGTATGTCTCACGTCTCTTATAAGATTACGTACGTATACAATAGCTGATTGTAGATGAGGAGGTTACATCATATACACATGAATTAGTAGTGATTAAAGCTTATTGTTCTAATATGATTGTGTATTATGATTAGCATGGAAGTGGAGAGTTGAGATATTTGGCTTGATCACTTGGCTCAAGCGGCTTAACTAGTTGTGCACCATATGGCAACATTAATTGGGGTTGGCACACCAATGACTCCTATTTCATGCATCGGACTCACGTAAACAATGGTTAATCATAGCAAGATACTTGAAGGGAATTTTTTGAAACTTTAAGGACCTCTTTCTAGGAAAAGAAAAAAAGATTAAGGGCCCGTTTGGGGCAACTTATAAGTGCAGGGGCGTTTTTTAAAACGCCGCGGTTCCGTTTGGATCGCGTGTTTTGCCTGTTTATCCGAAAACGCGGTTCCATTTTTACACTAAACGCAGGCCACGGATCGACCCCCACAGTCGACCTGCGAGCCGCTTTTCAGAATAAGCTGCTTATCCTGAAACGCACTAGCTGCCCCAAACACACCCTAAGTAAGAGGAAGTCATGGAGGTCGTGTTAGCAATGTTGAAGAAGATAGCAATACTTGTGACAATGAAAAATAAAATACGATTATAATACTGAGCCTATGATGATAGAGAAAGTTACAATGAAAGCAAGATAGAGTAGGACATGCTAACAGTGGCATTAGAGGACGCCATAAAGAGGGAGTTAGTACATACTACTGGGATTGTGGCTATCAAACTAGAGGAGGTTGTATGAGGTAAGCAATAGAGGAAGCCATAAAGCGGGCAGTGATGGAGGAAACCGTAACATGGACGGTGGGGTTATGGAGAGAGCAAAAATGAAGAATCTTGGGGGGAAGTTGGAAATTGAGTCCTCAAAGTCCTAGATAAACTAACTACCAAAGGTGTCATTTATGTCTCAAAAAGCTAGCCATTATAATCCATGGCATAGCTCTTGAATGTCAAATTATGGTTATAGCATGCATTATCATATATGAGTGGTTAGATGAAGAAGGTTGATTGACACTCTAAAATGTGGGTGACCAAGAAGTGGTGTCCATAAATTATGCTTCAAAGATAATTTACATCGAGGATCTGCTCTTCCTTGTGATCATTAAGGCTAGCACAAGATAATGAGCATAAGGATTTGATGTATATTATTGACTAGTTGAACATCAAATAATTGAAGCACCTAACTGATTCATAAAATGAAGTGATTATATATATATTGAGGACCAAAGCTAAGTAGCAATGATTGCAATGGCTCCTTTGAAATTTTCAAATGAGACCAAATTAATACTTTCTTAATCATAATGCAATCACATAGAAAAGTCATAATTCATCATAAACTTTTTTACATAATTATCTATTTGCTTATCATTTTCTTCTAACTAAGAAAATGATATATACAATAAATTAGTTTTAAATTTTTTTTTGAAAGAATTACATTCTAAATTCATAATTGTTTACATATCGAACAACTAAAGTTCAATATATACATATACACGTCACCTTAACCTAAGCATTAAAAGATGTATTTAACTTTTTAAAAGTTGAAATGATGGTCTTTTTGTTTTAATTTGAAACATATTTAGGCAGTATAAATGTAAAATATAAAGTTTTAAGTGTTAGATATATAAATATAGAAATTGAGTAGCAAGTATGCAAATACCCCAAAAATATTTCATTATTTTTCTTAGAATTCTAATCAACAAGAGCTTTGGTTGAGTGGGTTGAGCCAACAAGTGAAGTGTTTTAAGTGTAGTTTTATGAAAAAAAGGTGGAGAGGAACTTTCTCCATTTTTTTTTTTATGAAAGATAATAATAACTTTTAGTTCTCAAATAATAAAAGATAATGAAAGTCATCTTCAAGAATTTTATGATCAAATAAAAATTTCATTCTAATGTCCAACTTATGTTTAATGATAATTTTTTTAGAGAAATATCAAACATTATTATCATGTGTTAGGCAAAATCTTTGAAAATATTTTAAATATTTAGTTGCAAGGAGGCAACTTTACCTTAAAGTGAATAAGTATCCATGCAACTTCTTGTCATGATATTTAGAAAAAACATCTAATTATAAACAACACTTTTATTTTCATCTTGGTATGGTGATTGTCATTAATCTTCAATTTTTTGGATAAGATATCGTTCCAATAGATCTTAAATTATTTGGTAAATTTTTATTTTGATATATACAACATCATTTCTATGTTAGTTTAAAAATTCATTCATATGTACAAATAAGTATACTGACCAATTAGGGTTATGAGTGTGAGCTTCAACTTGAACTCTTAAGGGGGAGACAATGAAAAATAATGACATTTAAATGATAATTATCTCTTCCACCTCTACTTTATAGGTTGGATTATCTATTACTTGATTGGTCTTTGTTTGAGTTAAGAAAATATTTATCACATTTTAATGGTGTAGTATGATTTTAGGTAAGAGATGAGATAATAATTCTAGTATTTTACTTAGAACTAAAAATATCATATATTTAATATTTCAATTCTTGCATCCAAGTACTGTTTTTATAAAGTAGTTTTTAATCGTAAAATAATTTTTATAAATCATATTTTATAAGAAAATAAATCATTTTGGTTAAGTTTTTAATGAGATTTTAAAATATTGACTTAGCTGTCATGATATGATTAAACTAATGAATACAAAGATGAGATATAACAATTTATAAATGAGAGATAGTAAGATTTAAATTATAAATAAAAAAAGCAAATTAAAAAGAATTAGGTGAAATGGGTACATGAATACATCTTAAATTTCAACCTCTACTTAGGCATTTCTTATAATTTTTTTCTAAATTTCAAACAAATTAAATTTTGTAAATATATTTTTCTTCATGAATTGATGGAAAATATGCCTATATCTACATACCTCAAGTTCTTAAGATTAAAAATTTATTCAAGTTTTGACAAACGAATAACAAGTTTTATCATTAATAATTAATATAAAAAATTAAACATATAGCATAATATTTGATTTTTATCAAGTTATTTTTTTTAAGTGGATCTCTCTCTTAACAATACTTTTAGTTCAAAATAGAATTGGACGATAGGTTTACACAAAGATTATTGGCTAGGATATATGATGATGCCCACAAATTGGATTTTATCTCACACCATAAATTTAAATGAAATATTAATATATCCAAACTATTAATATGAAGTAAATCTATCATAAGAAAGATTCACTAATCTTAAAGTTGCTATAATGACTTAAAAGTTGTAAGAGATATCTTCATCCAAAAAAAAGGTTCTAACAAAAAATATGTTATTTGTTTTTCTTATACCAAATATGATGACAACTGATGATCTTTTTGTGAAATTTAAAGTTAATAAATATTATGAAATTGTATGTGAATGTTTAAGGAAGTTTATGAAGTTTATAATGAAGTGATCCGTGATTTGAAGGGGTATAATAGATTTAACATCAAGTTTATCCAAATTAGACTAGCGTGGGTTGATTTGAGAGAATATTTTGAAGAATGAGTTTTAGTGAGATAAATAGCTAGAAATGCTACTAAAATGTTAGCTTAAGTTGTATACTTATGATCTAGAGTGGATGATTAGATTTGATAGAGTTTATGTGGGTCTCAAGGAACCAAAAATATTACCTAGAGTGATCTAAATTTAACTCAAGTAGAAATTGACAGGTCACTCATTTCTCAGAATTTTTCTAAAAGCATATTTGAGGTAGAAATCTATTAAACGGATAACAAACTCTCTGACTACGAAAGCACCTCAAAACCTAGAAGAACAACAATGAGAATAATTAAGAAATTTCCTGCCTAAGGGAACTCACTCGTCTCTTTTTATATCCTCACTATTTCCGAAGTAATGTCTCAAAAAGTTTGGCTCTTAGAATCATAATGTTCTTTTAGGAGCCCCTCCTATCTTTTACGGACAAAAAAAATGAAGGCACACAACAAACATGAAGAAAAAATACTCAACGATGATGACATCACAAAACTCCATGACATCCTTTTTATAGAAGAATAATAGGGGGCACAAATCACAAGAAAGTCATAACTTTATAAATAAGTTTGCTTAATGCATCTATCTTTGAATTAAATAAAAAAATAGTATTTTATTATTCTTTCTAATGATTAGCTATCAAAGAGAGAAGAGAATCAAATAGTTAAATATGCGCAACTAAAATATTTTAAATTTAATTCAGGTCAAGTTTAGATCAACCAATCAGATCGACAAACCAGTTTAGTGCCACAACCCAATCAGATAGATCAACCGACAAATTTAGCAAAATGGGTCAAGTTCTCTACAAGTTAATTCACCAATTCTCTGCAACATATATAAGGTCAAGTTCTCCTCAACAGTCCAATTTACTATGCCAATGCCCCAAAAGGTAGAGTAGACTGACCAAATATTTCACATAATATTATTATTTTTTGAGTAGTATTGTGTGTAATACACCTCATGTCAGCTTAAACTATAAATAGAAGTGATGCACCAGGTATAAGAGGGCTCTCAAGAAGAATTCCTTAAAAAATAGTTCCCCATAAGAGTTGAAACTTATGTAATAATTTTAAAAATAAATATATAATAATTTTAAAAATAAATAAATAAAAGAGTTCAATTAAGCATTTTCTTTGTGTCAATTTAGTATTTACCAACAAACAACACTTCAATTTTTAAAAGGAAAAGTTTTCAGCACAACTTTTTTCCTAAAATAAAAATAAAATAAATATAAAAAAAGCTCGAAGGCACGGAGTGGCGTCCATGTCCTCTCTTCCCCCCGCCGACGCTAGTCTTAATGCAGAATACCATTCTCGTAATTTCTTCAAAGTTCATGCCTTTTTCCAAAGCTGCTCTTATCATAAAATCCTACTTTCTCGCCTTTGCGCGTAGATAAGGGGAAGAGAGAGAGAGAAAGAGGCGAGAAATACTCAACTTGGTTCTCTCTGTACAGATCTCTCTTCAGTTTCGAGAAGAAGGAGAAGATGAAGATATCTGCTGCGATGATTCTGCTTATAGCTTTGATGGCGCCTCTGCTTTGCTCCCCTACGGCCGCCGGCGGCGAGATACCATTGGTAGGATGGATCCCTGGAGGATCTGCTTGCAGCGGCACCATTGGTGAGTGCTTAGACTCCAACGAGTTCGAGCTTGCCTCCGAATCCAGCAGGCGGATCCTGGCGACATTGAACTACATCAGCTACAACGCCCTCCGGCGCGGCTCCATCCCCTGTTCCCGCCGCGGCGCTTCCTACTACAATTGCCGCCCTGGCGCCCAGGCGAATCCCTACTCCCGCGGCTGCTCCAGAATCACCCAATGCCGAAGCTAGGGTTTACTTCTTCCTCTCTCCCCTTTTTGTTTCACTGGTGCTTTTGAGGCTGATTGAGCTGTGATTGCTGATTGGTGCTGTGTTGATTGATTAGGGTTTATATGAATATTTTTGTGTTTGTGGCTATGATGTTCTTGCTATCGCTGTTGTTTCTCTTGTACAATTTATTATATTATATTTTGATTCCTATTCCGATTTATTCAGCTTGTTGTTTGTTGAGCAATTAATCAAATTACTTTCTTTTTTCTCATGATTTTCGTGTTTTGTCGGTATGAATTGAAGTGTTGTTATTTGGGTTGATTCTGTAAAGCTTTTGCTTTGTCCGTATGGCCATGGATTACAGTCTGTTGTTTGTTCTGAGATTGGGATTGGATGCTAATATCTTTCAGTTTTATCGTTGATGTCTGAACTCAGTCCTACATACTATTTAGATTTTCTTTTTGGTATAAATCTCAGCAATAATGTATTTTTGATATCATTTCCCTATCTTAAGGGGGTGTTTGGTAGCATAATTTAGTTGGATTTAGCCATGAATTTAGCCTAAATTCAGGTGAACATAAACAAAATATATAATTACATTCAATGCTCTGTTAAATCAAATGTTTGCACCTTCTGTTCGTCTTTTTTGTGATGTAAATCTTACTAAATCTGGCTGAGTGTCATCTCCATTGCCTTCTCGGTCGACCGCCTTAGATAAAAGAGACGGCTTTCTTATGCACGTTGTGGATTTTGCTGCTTATTATGATAACTTAGATTGGGTTTAATTGTTCTGATTTGTTTTAGTGTTTGTATCATAAAAAGATGCAATTTTTATTTTGATGGGGAATTCTCTCTAGACATCGAATGCTATTTTTTGCAGTCTGAAAAATAAAACAAAATTGATTCATGTTCCTTTGTTTTTTTTGTAATTATTGGAAATGCTCGGTTGTTTGGTTCAATAATTTGCTGATCTTAGATATAGAAATACAAACTTTCTATATTTGCTGTCTTGATTCAGCAAATTTATTGCTTCTTGCATAAAATGGAAAAGGAATTTGTAAAGCTTTCTCTATCAAAGCATTCTCCATTTGCCTCCACTTTACCTTTCCTTTTCCTTGCTTATGATTTTGAATGGTCTGGTGTCATGTCAATCATGGTTTCATTGTTTTATTTTCTTTTGATTTTGATTTTGATTTGCATTTTCTTCATGATTTGGGGACCTTTTCAGTTTTTTTTTCATAAATCTTTTTAATTAACCAATATTTCTTTTGTCAGATTTGCCTGTTTACATGATTATGTGATCTTATTAATGAGAACTTTTATATTATGTAAATTTATTTGAGAAATATATTTTTTATGCCTTGGTTTTCTTTCTTCTAATTAAAGGAGGCCGTGAATGGTGGTAGTTCTTCCCTTATTTTGGGGGCTTTGATTGGCAGAGCCATCAATGGTGGCTGCTGCGTGCTTTGTAAAGGAGGTTTGGTGGATAATAAATGCTTTGTTTTGCATTAAGACATTTGAGTTTTTATTTTTAAATATTTACATACACACCGCACCATTCCTATGCATTTACATATATAACTCCAAAATTTTAATTTTGATATATAAATACATGGGAATTATGTAGTATGTATGTAAATGCCCTTTTTACAAAATCCAATAATAATCATGCTAAAAAGGTTTATTTTTGTAACACATTCTTAAATTTTATTAAATTTGAATTTACATGAGCTATTAAATATTACTACATTTAAATTCTAATACAAGCCGAACTACCTTTTAGAAGCCTGACCAACTTAAAAAACTGAACTATTCCTGGATGTTAGGCTTTCGTTCAACTCGCTCCGGGTTCCGATCTATATGACCTCGGGGCGGTGCAAAGTACACCTCTTCCGTAGAGGCAGGTAGTAACCTAACCATTTAGAGTGGGGGGAGCCGAGCCCTCAACCCTATCAATGGAAAGATCTCCGTGCGTGGCGTGAGTTGGAATCCTACAAAAGATCAATTGAGACTCCCTCCCCGGTCCCACGAAGATCTCCACGTACTTGTCCAGTCTAGGACAACTGAGATCTTCCCGTCTGAAACAAAGAAGAGTCTGGTACACTTTCCTAGGATTTGTCTGAGAAAAATTTCTTGGTTTTGTTAAGAAGTTTTACACATATACAACTCAATTCCTATGGATTTATAATCTAACACCTAAATTTTAATTTTTACATGCATAGCATGATGCCATCTTACCCATGCATGAAAATGTATATTTCATTTCTTGAAAGCTGAAACTGTGGTATTTTTTATGCCATAACATCTGGATGGTATAGATATAAAAGATGAAGTTTAGCTCCTAGATATGTAAATACGTAGAACTTGGATGGTATGCATGCAAATGCTTTGCTATTTTTTAGTTATTTTTAAATCCTGCCTTTTAGTGTGATTCAGATTGAGTTCTTAACTTTTAATAGTTGGAAATAGCTTTGTTGATGCCCTTGAAGAAATCAATACTGAGGTAACTCTGTCTTTTTGATTGCTCACTAATGGAATTCTAGAAGTGTATTTTCATAAGAAAAAAAAAAAAAAAGTGAATGATTTGATAAGCATTATGAGTTTACTGTTGAATTTTTTATAGTTGATTTTGATGAGATATGAAAGAATTGGATGGTATATGCAAACAAAAAATGTGTCAGCATGAAGTTCAAGGCAATCCGATAGCTTAAAAAAAGAATGACATGGCAAAGTTAGAACCACAGTAAAATGACCCGGGGACCCAAGAAAATCGATCAGCTTATGCTAGCCAACCTTCATTCAAATTGATCCAATGATACACACCTAGAAGTTGTTCTCTGCTCGAGGATATATGTCTTCTCCGCCGGCAAGAATTGAGGACTGAAGACCGATCCAGCTCATCCGACTGACTAACATCAGCTAGACGGACCCATCTTTCCGACTATCTTCAAGAATGCTCCTGGTCGCCGACACCTGAAGGGCCCGACCGACAGTCCCCGTCCAGAAGGCTGACCGACAACACTGATTAATTCACCTCTTCGACCCCAACTGACCCAAGGGTTTTTTATACTAAAATAACCCGTACAATCCCTCTTTAAGCGAGGCTATAAATATAATTTCCTTTAAATGGTCATTTCATGTAATAAGACTTTTGGCCCCTCTCTTCCCTCATGTATCTTCTTAAAGCAAGAGAGTTTAAGCTCTTCACCCTCTCTATGAGTCACAAGAGCCCGAGAATACCTCATTTTAGCCTAGAGGGGCAAGTCGCCGGGCACTCATCTTCTTGCTTTTATCTCTCTCTCACTCTCACTCTTTCTTCATTTTCTCTTGTTTCAAATGCTCAAATCCCTTCGATGTGCCTCCTGGACAACTTCAGATTCAACATTTCTCAAAGAAGCGGTGAGCGTGGAGCATACCACTAGCAAGAAGAAAACCAACACCTAGTAGGGAAAACCCATCACAATGCCACTCCTAGCACAGAGTATGCCAAGGAGTTTACTTAGCAGTAGATATATGTGCAAAAAAATCACGTTTCTGTTGTCTCCGAGAGGCTTTAGCTTGGAGGCGAGAACCACATCAAAACATACATCAGACTCCTCATGCTCGGGAAACCTCCCTGCAGAAAATCGACTAATGGCACCTTGACAACAATCCAAGCTTAAGCCACAGTGTGAAGAATGCTATCAACCCCAACTCGTTGAGGTTCGATCAAAGGAACATGAGTCGAGGCATTACTCCCAGCATACGACACCAACAAGGGAATCACATTCGATAACTCAACCGACACCTGACTTACAAATGAAATGGCATTATGATTTCAAATGTTCTATGCTTTCTCTGCTATAAAAGTTAGATTACCTTTTTTAACATGTTCCTAAGTCAAATCTAGACTCAAGAAACTCAAAGAGTTCATGTGCTTCAGAAGAAAACCAACACTCAGGGAAGTTGAATATGAGTAACCACAGTATTAGCGACGCTAAAAACGTTTGATTGATAAAATACATGAAGAACGATCCACAAAGCTCCCACATCAAAAACCTTGGTCTCCAAACTTGAATTGGAAAAAAACCCTGGAGGTGGTTTCATACTTAGTAGCGGCAAGCTCCGAGAAGGTACAACACAAATCATCATAGTGGAAAGTCTCAGTGGTTACCCCCATGAAAGTAATGACAAAATCAACTTAATAAGCTTAGTACAAGGGGTAATCCATTGAAGGAGGAAATTTGATTGAGCAACCGAGGAAAGTGTAAAATACGAGCTAGGCATCAATAACAAAAATTGACAAGGACACGAGCTGTCGATCGGTAAAAAATTACAAAAAATTCGACAATAGTACAAGACACCCAATCAGTATAATTTCGAAGCTTAACCGACAGTGACAACTAATGTTCGAATGACAAGTCGCATAAGACTGACAACGCCGAGCACAAAAAAGGCCATGTCTCGAAACTCAACACAAATAAAGCTCTTGAGGTGGTTTCCTATCAAGTAGTGACAAGCTTTGTGAAAGACGCAACACAAATCACCTCAGTATGAGTCTCGACGCTTACGCCCCGTGAAGGTAGCGACATGATCAGCTTAAGAACTTGCGACAGGTGCAACCCGATCAAAGCGACAATCCAACCGATCAAACAAGAAATAAGCGGTTTAAGACTTGCGTGGAATGATTAATACAAATCAAAGATAACAGACAAAACATCTCAAGCCGATCATTTTACATTGCACCCCATCACCAACAATCGAGTCGTAAAGTAAAATACGGTAAAAGTAAAACAACATATGTAAAGAAAAAAAGTTTTCATTATCAAAAGTTTTATACAAATTTTTCTATATGACTATATAATTTGGTTGGCTTCAACCAAACAAAACAAAATTTTTTTTCTTAAAGTACAAACAAAAAATAAAAAGAAAAGAAAAAAATAAAGCCTAAGGACCAGTCGATCCGCCATTGATGTCCTGTCCTTCTCCGCCCGCTCCCACAGATTTGTCACTGTCTTCTTCAGGGTCTGAAAGAAGGGTGGCAGACACCCTCATGCCACCTTACTAGGGATCAACTAAGCTTTCTTTGTTGAGGAGATCTACAACTAAAGTGAGACCCACTTGAAGCTGTTGGGAAAGTCCCCTGACGAGCTCATTGACATGAACCATCTTTTCCAGCACCACTTGAAGCTCAACTCTTTCTTTTTCAGGGCTGCGACAACTTCTTCGTGCTCTTTAATCTCCC